CCACCCCATTAGCCAATACAGGTGTACAGTGTGAGTTAAGCACAACTATTACTGACTGTGATGTCTTGACCCACTATTACAAACAGTAATCCCGTGATATTTTTTGGGGGTATTCTTTACTGTGTTTGTGCATTTTTGTGGTTTATTTACCCATTGAAGCCTGCAGGAAGAACCGTCTGAATTGTCTTTACAAAGATGCTCAGTAACCACCCCTGAAAACAGAAAATATAGTGAAAGCATGATAATGGCATTTCAGTATATAATATACAGGGGTTGGACAAAAAAAATGGAAACCCTACATGATTTGCAGGTGTGAAAGTGACGACATGTTTCGCAGGGAAAGCAGAAGTGATGTAACATTCTTTTGCTTCTGCTGTGTGATGAGACACCTAGCTAACAGGCGGGAAGCCTCACTTTCATAATTTACTTTGTGCGCTGCTAGTAATACGGAGTCATGACAGAGCTTACTGAACTTCAATGATGGCAAATTGTTGGTGCTGCTGCTGGGGCCTCTGTGATGAAAGTTGCCAATTTATTTGCTTTGTTGAGAGGTACAGTATCAAAGGTTATGATGGCATATACAGTTTCCAGGAAAATGTCTTCTGAAAAAGCATAAGCATGGTCGACATGGCCAACTGACCAAAGGAGACAAGAGGAGATTGCACAGGATTGTGACCCGGAGTAAGAAAACAGCTTCTGCAAAAGTGACTGCACAGCTCAATCTCATTCTTCATGGACCTGTAGAGCCCAACACAACTTTACAGTTCCACAAAGAAACAAAACTGAAACAAGTTTCCAGCCTTGCTTTGACAGACCGGAGATGAGTGGTGAGCAGAACCGTAACAACAAATAATAGTGTTTCCTCTTCTATGTGTACATTTACTGGCACTGCTGCAAAGGCTAACATTCCCCAACTCATCCATTGCTTTTCAAAGCTTTTAATAAGGCCAATGTAAAATAGTGATAGAAATTAAACATAACATAAATTGTGGTATTTGTATTAATTCTTCATTTTGTTTCCTTAGAACAAGCCTCTGTTTGGCAAATTAGGCTTCATAGATATCATTTATATAGAGGTCAATCAGTCTAAACATTTTAGAGAGAAGATACACTCTTGGTTTATCAAGCGGTGGGAAATGACCGCTGCTCAGTTCTCTGGCATTCTCAGAGGAGAGAGTTCTCCTCTGAATGCCTTTTTACGAAACGGTGTACATCACTTCTCCAAATGAAGGGAGAAGCGATCTACAAACACTTTGAACGCTGGCAAACGGCTGCTTTTACTATAATCTCGCGAGATCACAGTAAGAGATCAGTCAAACACTGTTTACTAAGCAGTGGTAAATTACTGCTGCTTCATTTGTGGTTCCTCTGATTCTCCAGCTCTGAGCTGGAGAAACTGGAGGAGAACACAGATCTCCAGTGAAGGGCTGACATCGCTCCTTCATACACTGGCCATCTGTGTGCTGAGATGATCAGCGGAGAACATGTTCTTCGCTGATCATCTCTGTTTCCTAAACCACTAATGATCGGAGATCAGCAACGATCCTTGGGATCGCCGCTGATCTCTGTTTCATAAAAAGACACCTTTATACCGTATTCAGCAAAATTCTAAAAAAAAAAAACAGCAACCCACAGCACCCAATTATTTTCCAATGATCTGGCATGAGAAAAGTCAGTTCTAATTGCACTTACATGTATAAGATCTCTTTTCTGAATAAGACCATATTGCATGCAGTTATATTATGGGACTTTTCCCTTAAAGTATTTTTACCACCGAAGTTCTGTGAGAGTTTTTTTATTTTAATCCAGCATTTGAAAGACATTGGATAATCTAAATAAGCAAACTACTTACATGCATTAACAGTCTTCATATAAGCAGCAGCAACACTTTTATATTCTTCAGCCTTGGCAAGAGAGGCAGTTTTTTTTTCTTTCAACTGGTGCTGTCATCTTGCTGGACATACCATGGTCTAAAAGATACATGAGTACCATTGTACAAAAAACTTCATACCATAAAAAATCAACCACCAGGCTAGGTAGAAAACATTATGCATTTATCGCTGCAAGTAGTTTGTACATGAGTGGTTGAAAATTTAGAAAAATAGCGCCAGTGCAGTGATTTATGTTCCTTCAGCATGTTATATTTTTCAGAAGAGACAATTTGGCTTCTTCAGAAAGGGAAAGAGCGGTGGTAAAACAACAGTTACATGTAGAAACCTACCGTCAGAATTCACTTTATGCTGAAATTGCTTCAGTAAATTGTAAACTGATAGGTTTAGCATTTTACACATCATCATGGGTACTCTGTACTGACTTCAGATGATACTAAAAAAATAAAATTTTTTACCATCTCAGGGCCCTAAGTTTTAATGTATATATAAACAGCTGTGGTTATCCATTCATTGGAATGCTCAGGTTTACTGCTATACTGCTAACAACACAAAAAAACAATGTATTTGAGTTTACACATGTAGCACCCCTCTAGTTAGCCAGAGGGAGCTAGCTAATTTTTTTTCGAGACAGAAAGGCTGGATAGCAGCCTCGGTGTGAGTCAGCCAGGTTATTTCAGGTTAGGGCTGAGGGCTATGCAGATCAGTTCCCTGATATCTTTCCCTGCTCTAGGGACTTGAGAAGTTTCTAGAAGGCAGTGGGTGAAGGTGAAGAGAGGCTGACCTGCATACTTATGGGATTTTGAACAATCCCCAGACAGGAGGCTTGGCATGGGGTCAGGAGAGCCCTTAAATATGACTGAGCTTGATCAGCAGCAGGAGAGTTCGGGTGGAAGATGGAATGAGAGGCTGGGATGCCGGAGCCTGGGAAAGGGCCCAGTGGGAAGGTGCCTACATTCAGGTTGGACTTGGAAAGGTGGATCACTTGACCTCACCGTTCCCCAGAGACAGGACCACCTGTAGAGTCAGGGAAGAAGCCAGCCCAGCAGAAAGCCTGAAGGCAGCCACCAACCTGGCAAGCCTGCAGGCAAGGAATGGTGAGTAATTCTACACCCCTTGGGCTAGAAAAGGAGAAAGGGTATTCTGGTGGAAAACCTAATCAGTCCCCATCTGGGGTTGTGCACTTAAAGTGGCAGATTTTGGGGCCCCTTGCTCAAGGAGTCCCTTAGTACAGCTGGATGAAAAGAGGATTCATCTGGGGTGGTACACCAGGAGAGGCTGGAGAGCTATCCAGGAAGATATCTACTGTAGAGACTTGTACATAGTTATTCAGGAGTTCTCCTCAGTTACAGTTTCCTTGGGCATCCCATACATCCTTCAACCCCATCCAAGTTTATTACCCCCTTAATAAAATCACAAAAACAAGCCTAAGGACTGGTTACTGTCTCCCATGTACACGTTTAGCGAAAGCAAATGTGTGTTGCCTGCTGTGCAGGGCTATAGGGGGACCCAAAAGTCAACAACTCCAGGGGGTAGTGCTACACATATACTTAGATAACATTAAACCATATATATAACCCTACCGTGACTTGATGCTTTGCCATTCTGCCACTGGTTATTCTTTTTGGTTTCTGCTGAAGAGGGTCTTTGATTACTCTGCTGTGACCTGTAAAATTAATTTACAAATCAATAGTTAAATTAATATTAAAGCAGCTTTTTTTTGGTTAAAATAACTATACTTGCCAATATTAATGTGACTATAATTAGCATCAATGTATATAAATGTCAAATAATGGTTAAAGAGATCTGCTATGGATATAATACCAGTGTTAGAAGCTTGAAATGAAAGTTGTCACTCTGTCTCCCAGGCTGCATATAAGTCTTAGTGCAGTAAAGCTGAACCAATAAAGTTTTAGTGGTAGTACTAATGACGTTACTGGCTCAAAACTAGTTATCAGGATCAGGACCCATAACTTCCAGCAGCAGCTCTTCATGCTGAGCCACCTGGGATGCTGGACAGCCTCTTGTCTGATCCTTCTGATAATTCCCTTGTACCTTGTTTCTGGTGAACTTTGAATTCCTTGCTCCTCCCATAAACTTCCTATTTAAGCTATGCCTTTGCACTTTCTGTTTGCCAGATTATTGTGTTCTCTCCAGCTGATATCTTGCTCCTTTGCGTACCTGCAGCTGTCCTTTTCTCCACTACCACTCATGTCCGACCTTTGGCCTGTTTCTTGACTACGTTTCTCCTTGATCCCAGCCTGCAACCATTTGTCACTGACCTTTGGCTTGTTTACTGACTGTGCTTCTGCTTGATCTCTACCTGCTATATCAGCTTCCGGACCCCAGCTTGCTCACCTCCTGATGGGGCAATCCTGAGGACTGCGACCTAGTACTACATACAACAAAACCCATCTCCACCATTAAGAGCTCGGGTAATACCGGTTAGTGCCTTGACCCTGCACCTCGGGTGAACCCCATCATCTACCAGAGTGACCTGCTTGTGTACTTATCCAGCTGGTTGATGGGAGACTCTCTATATCTATAGCTACTGGTCTCCAAGCCTGACCCCTGACAGTAACACTAGCATTGTAACTCAACAGTCAAAAGATGGCAGCTTTCAACAGAGACAAAGCAGGTAGTGAAGTTCCACTCATACACAGTGTTAACCTTGCTGCAGGCAGAGGCTTATACCTGGCTCATTCATCCCTCTAAGAGGGGACAGAGCTTAGGTGGGCTTTGGGCCAAATAAAGTTGCATAGCAAATTGTATTCTGGTGTGTAGCTTATATTGCTTTAATTGCATGATAATGTTTGCATTGTGAAAGATTCTCCTTAAACTTTGTGGGTGTCCCCAAAATTCATAGAAGCATGACTCTCAGACTGGATTTATACAGTAAAAGATTAGCTGAAACATGAGGTCTTCAATCCAACCCAAATTTAATAAAAAATGTTTAAAGTGTTACTAAACCCACAACCGTACAATCAGTCCATATATGCAGTGAAACATGCTTCTTATACTCACTGTGGAACCTAATGAGTTAATCCTCTGCATTGCGTAAAAGGCTGTTTGATCCTGACTTTGCTAATCCTCCCCTTCTTCCAGTGTCCCCCTCTTATCTCTTGATAAGACATATCATGTGGAGTCACTCTGCACATGCTCAATTTGATGTTTATTGCCACAGAGGTTTTTTTCTTGGTAGAGTGCATGTGATCAGCACAGGGCCAATCAGCACTGTCCAGAAAGAGGTCAGGGGTTCTGCATCCTCCTAGAGCAAAATGAGAACTCCTCCTGCAAATTTTAACCAGTGCTCTGCTGGTCACTGATAGAAGTCACAAGACTGCTCTGCCTGCTAATGATAAAAGTTATTTAGCAGTTTATATTTACTAAAAAAAATTGCATTTCCATGTTCTGTGTACTGTTGGAGACCAGATATAGTGAATGCAGGGTCCTGGGTTTAGGAACACTTTAAGGCCATATGGCCTAAGTGACTAAAGCTACCTATCAGCACCACATCCACACTGACCTATATGAAACCCGTACACTTCAATACAATCTAATAATAATAACAGAGCAACTTGACAACAAATGTACAAAATAAGTAAATTATATTTATGCCACTTACATAAAATATAAATATGTTTACCAATAAAACAAAATCTAAGTATAATTTCTTTACAATCCCATTGGACCTTATCCTATAGCCTTATAGAATTGTGACTAAACGTATTTTTAAAAGCAAAAAAACGAAATGCTATAGATAGAGCGCAAAGAATTGATATTAGACACTAAAAATGTTTTCTTGGCATTTCACAAGGTTTTTGCTTTGTTGTTTTGATATATGAACACTGCTTGTTCCAACATATTCATGAATGTGTGTAGTCGTATATTCTTGTAACATGTTCTGCTCATTATCTCTTTCTATACAGACGGATGAATTGTTTCATTTCCTCCTGACAGACATTTAGTAAAATAACAAATGTGATACTTTTACAATACATACTAAAAGGTCTTTTTTCCTTCATCAGTAGAGCATAATTAATGGGTGAAAAGGCAGAGGTTTGCTGAATGCCTGTAACAGAAATACAGCCAGGAAAGACCATAATAATGGCTCTCCTATGTGACCACAAGACGTTCATTTCATTAAACTAATTACCTGACATCTTAACAGCATTTTCTCTTGGATTAGAGAATTACATTATGCAATATTACTTTATTTGCCATAATACTATATGTAGCTTATCTTATATTTGTATTCTTTCAAATAGTAAAATTGTTTTCTCAATTGTATTATGTGTATACAGTATATGATATTATGTAACTGAATGTATAGTAGTTACTTCAAATGAGTGTAAAACACTCATTCAGAAATGTATGCACAAGCTGTAAACATTGCTTTCCAATTATTATTATTAAAGCCAGCGCAGAAAAAGTCTATACTTAAATTAGCTCTATTATTTAAATATCTCTCAATTCAAAACTATTCAATAGACTCTGGGTGCCCATTTTTTTCTCAGAAGGGCATATAATCTATAATCTCCTAGATTGTAAACTCGAAAGAGCAGGGCCCGAACCCCTCGTGTATCACATTGTATTGTTTTCGTACTGTCGCATGTTCTGTCTCCCTTTGTAATGTACAGCGCTGAGCGAACTGTTGGAGCTTTATAAATACTGTATAATAATAATAATAATCTAAGAAGGATTCAAGAGAGTGATGAGTGGAAGACAGCCTTCAACACCTAGGACAGGCATTGCAAATTACTTGTGAAGTCCTTTAGGCTAGGTTCACACTCATGCGGTTTGGTACATCATATGTGGTTCGCACAGGATCCTGTCCAAATCACATACGAATTGTGTGCGGTGCGATTTGAACCATACATTATGTATGGCTCAAATCGAAATACATCTGCACATCTGGTCAGTAGGGGGCCCCATGAGATGCCCCTGGTACCTTTTTCATAGGCTTTTTTGAGTTTGGGCAAGGACACAGGGGCCCCATGATCCCCTATTGCCCGGGGGCCCCATGAGTTGTCAGTCCGCCCCTGTGCAGGACCCTTTCTTGGATTCACACTAGAATCGAATCCCATGGGTATTCGCAGCTATACGATCCGAATCTGCACATCACACCGCATTTTGCGGTCCAATTTCGGAGTGTTGTTAACTTAACATACACACCAGCAGCGGTTCACATGAACGAGGTACGATTCTGATGAGGTGCAGAATTCGCACAGGAAACGCTGTGAATTCCGGACCGCATCAGTGTGAACCCAGGCCTAAAGTGTTCCTTAACCCACAACAGTAAAATCAGTCTGTATATGCAGTAAAGCATGCTTGTTATACTCACTGTGGAACCTAAGGGGTTAATTCTCCACATTGTGTAAAAAGGATGTTTGATCCTCTCTTCTCTGATCCTCTCTCCTTCCTCTATTGTCCCCTAAATATCTCTTCATAGAACAGAGGTTTGGAGTCACTTTGCACATGCTCAGTTTGGTGGGTATTGTTAGAGAGGTTTTTTTTTTCTTAGGAGGATGCCTGTGATCAGCACAGGGCCAATCAGCACTTTCCAGACAGATGTCAGGGATCTTGCATCCTCCTAGAGGACAATGAAAACTCATCCTACAAGCTTTAACCAGTGCTCTGCTAAACACTAACAGAAGTCACAAGACTGCTATATACTGCTGATGAGAAAAGGTATTTGGCAGTTTATATTTGCTAAAATAATTGCATTTCCATTTCTGTGTACTGTGAGAGACCAGATATAGTGAATGCAGGGTCCTGGGTTTAGTAACACTTTAAGTTACGCAACATCCCGGCAGTCTTCTAATCAACAAGGTCTTCTGTGACCTCTTGTCTATTTGTATTATAGTATGCATAGATAACATTTTTGTCTTTTCCCCAGACCTACAGTCATGACCAAAAATATTGGCACCCCTGCATTTCTGTGTGGGGACCACTTTGCCCAGAAAATTGTTGGAATTACAAATGTTTAGACATTTTCATGTTTATTTATTTTGTTTATATTGGTATGACACAAAAAAGTGGAGAACCAAAAAGCCAAATCTGACACATTCCACTAAAACCCCCAATAATGGACTGGACAAAATTGTTGGCAGCCTCAATTTAATAACTAAAATCAACCGCTTTCTGTAACCATCAATAAGTTACAAGAGAGGAGAGCCGGTAATCAGCATTCCTCAAAGGGGACATCTACACTGATCATCAGGGCACTGATGATCAGTGTAGCCCCATCAGTGCCACCTGTGAAGCCCTGCAGTGCTCTCACCACTGCCTAGTGACACAAAATGGCACCAATCACGTCACTTCACTGTGAGGAAGTTGGAAGTAATGAAACGCGTCAGTCGGGACTGTGCGGCAACTGGAAGTGACGAAAACGGAACTGGAAGTGATGCAATTGGTGCCATTTTGTGTCACTCGGTGGTGGTGAGAGCACTGCAGAGCTTCACATGGTTCGGTTTCACTATCTGCAGCATTTTTGAGCTTGATATTCTTTTTACTCTTACAAGTGGCTATCTATTTGGGTTAATAAAGAAGGCATTTTTGTACTACATCATTTGGGTTTCTCTTTTGTGTTTTTTTTCCATTACATGACCATTTGGGAGGTGATCACAGAAGAGGGAGAAAGGTGGTTGTGTCCATTTTCAATGCCTTTATACCTTGGCCAACCATGAGAGTGGGGGGCATATTTATTTGGTAAGTGCACACCCAAAAGGGAGGGCATTTCATTTTGTACACGCTGTGAACTTTTTTGGAGAACTTGAAGATTTTTGTAGGTTTATTAAGAACTTTATTTAGGACTTTTTCACATCAAAAGTCATATTTTGACATTTGGTTTTATTGTTTTATTCACTATATGTTATATTGAGCTACTGAACCACTGTAAGTTGTTCCTTTTTGGTCACATTGATTTATTAGAAGTGGCAGCAATAATCTGAGCACCGATTGTTTTTTTTTGGCACGTTATTTTAAGAGCGTTTTGTTTGTTTTTGTATGTGCATGTATGTGTTTTGTGTGTTTCCATCTCTTAGGATGTCTTTTTGTTACATGTAGACGTCAGACGTCATAATTCTCATAACTCAGAACCTTGCATTGCAAACAATTCTGCTTAGTAGAGTGATTTCCTTGAAAGGAGGGGATACTACATACAGTATATGGTCTTTTGATTGACAAGCCCATATGTAATACTATTCTTGATCTGAAACATGGCTTCATAAGTTATAGTTAATATATCTCAATAATGTTGTATAACCAAAAATCGACTTATGTAACACATATTACCAACTTATAAAACATAATTAAATGCACACAGATACTACTAGAATATACCATTTTATAATAATTCTATTTTGGTTCACGTCTAACTCCCTTGACACCCTACACCAGAGATCTTCAAATCAGCTATGCCCATCTACAGAAATTTCCTAAATACTCAACTTCCAGCTAGTTAACTTAACTCCAAATACTCTGACATTTTTCTGGCTCAGCTATAACAGAAGAATTCAGCACTATCACTTGTTCAAGGCCAACCACACATGTTAATATTAATTATGATTAATCATGAAAACCAAATATTTTGCAAGCTTGCCATAAATATAAGTCCTATAAGTGCAGAATTATTAATTTAGAATTACAATTTAACACTCCCTCTCTCGGAATGCAACACTTTTGGGATCCTCCTCCAGCACTGGTGTCAATGAGTCTAATAATAATAATAACCCTCAACGTTGGTGTCAGTGGATGCCATAATAACCCCAATCATTGGTTTCAGTAGATACAATATTAACCCTGAACGTTGGTGTTAGTGGATGTAATAATAACCACAATCACTGGTAGAAATGGATGCAATATTAACCTCCAACATTGATGTCAGTGGACACAATAACTACCCTCTGCATTATTGCCAGTAAGTTCAATAATAACCCTCAACAATGGTGTCAGTAGACACAATAATAACTCCCATCATTGGGGACAGTTGACACAATAATAACCTCCAACCAGGGGCGGACTGACAACTCATGGGGCCCCCGGGCAATAGGGGATCATGGGGCCCCTGTGTCCTTGCCCAAACTCAAAAAAGCCTATGAAAAAGGTACCAGGGGCATCTCATGGGGCCCCCTACTGACCCCGGGCCCTTGGGCAGTGCCCGAGTTTCCAAATGGTCAGTCCGCCCCTGCCCCCAACATTGATGTTATTGGACACAATAATAACTCCAGCACTGGTGTTAGCAGTTGCAATAATAACTTCAACATTCCTGTCAATAGACACAATAATAACCTCCAACATTAATGTCATTGGACACAATAATAACTCCAATCACTAATGTGAATGAGTGAAATAACAACCCTCAACATAGATGTCAGTGGATGCAATATTAACCCCCAACATCAATGTCAGTGAATGCAACATTAACTCCCAACATAGGTGTCAGTGAGTGCAATAACCTCCAACTTTGGTATCAGTGAGTGCACTAATAATCTTCAGATTGGTGTCAGAGGCCACAATAATAACCCCCAACATTGATGTCGGCATCTGTCTTTCAGGTTCCGTTCCCTGCGAGTGTTGGTACGTATGGGGGGGGGGGGGGGGGGCGGAACCGGCAGAAATTTAAAAAATTAAAAAATTTTGATATTCACTCAATACACGAAAAGCTGATAGTATTACATTACTGTATCAAACCATTTCACATACATTTTGTCCCTAGTGCTTTGTCCTGTGCCCTGCCTGCATTTTTACTGTTCTTTCTGCCTGGAAACTTGAGAACGTCCATGGCACCCAAAAAGCGTCCCTTTAGGTCAAAAGCGGTTTTAGATCAGCTAGAGAACAGCGATAGTAAATCAGAACTACTTGCAGAATTGAGTGATGATGATTCGTGGAGAAATTCATCATCAGACACTGAAAACAATTTTGCGACTAAGCTCAGTGATGTGAAAACTTGGCGCTCTATTTCAAATTTCAGTGTTTTTGGTTTGATTACATTATTGAATTAAATTTATTATTATTATATTATTATTTTTTCTGAATATTTATTATATTATAATTTATGATTTCGTGTTTCAAATTTTATCATACCCAGGATGTTTACTAGACTCTTGTTCAGACAGATTTCAGTGAGTTATTCCTAAGAATTACAGGCCTACAATAAAAAAAAATACATATTTCCATTGAAAACAATGTATCGCTGTGAGCACAGAAATACTGACATAATAAGACCGCCAGGTTAACTGGACACAAGAAAATGTACTTATATCTTTACCCAACCAAACAACTTAATGGTCTGTAGATATTATCACATCTATAGGTGATCGGCTTGCTAATTTCGATCCCTACTCACATGCCATCCTGGACCAGGGGCGGACTGACCATTTGGAAACTCGGGCACTGCCCGGGGTCAGTAGGAGGCCCCATGAGATGCCCCTGGTACCTTTTCCATAGGCTTTTTTGAGTTTGGGCAAGGACACAGAGGCCCCATGATTCCCTATTGCCCAGGGGCCCCATGACTTGTCAGTCTGCCCCTGTCCTGGACACTGTACAGTAATTGCATTCTGTCTTTGACTGCTTGGCCTCTCACTGCTGTGATATTTGTAGCTTTCCTATGATCATGTCTCAGCAGAAATATTATGTTACATGTGCAAATCATATCTAGGCCCCAAACAGGAGTTGCTAACCAAGAACCAGAAACAGAGCATTTCCTGAAGTCATACAAAGGATTATAGAGTCCATTCATTAAAATTGAATAGTTATATTAACTCTTCTTTTATCCAATGCTAATTGTATTCTTTTGTGACCTGAGTCTTATAAAAATGTATTTTTGTTTCAATACCAGAGAAGAATCCAAGGACTGTATGGTTCAGAAAACTTAGGAAACACACAAGGCTCCATATCACTTTAACACACTTCATGGCGCTGTTCGTAGCTCAGTTTGTACATAGCTAGTATCTGATTCACTGTATTTCTCAAGTCACCACAACAAATTGTTAATATTTTTCTGTATATGTATAATGACATGTGTCAATATATAACTGTGCCCAATAAATGTAAATTTCTGCTTCCTATTGGAGGAATAAAATAAAACTGAGGTGTGTTTTCTATTCTTTCACTGAAAATCCATACATTTGTTAGCAAGTTTTAGTCTACAACGTGTGGAGCCATCTAGTGGATTTTACATGAAGGGTAAGTGAAGTGAATTATTGTATTGACTGACATGCAACTGCTTAAGATATTTCACATTTTTTTATGTTGATAAGATGAACAACATATAACAGTGTTCCCATTTATAAAATCCATTTCATCTCACTTGCTATGAACATTATGAGTATGGCTGTTTTCTACCAATGGAGCAAAAAAAAAAAAAAGATTAAGTACCTACTAAAACAAATTCATTTTTCATATCCAGGGAAGAAAGTTAATGTTACTAACTGATAAGAGGCATGAAGGAGATCAGTTATGAGGAAAGATTAGAGGAACTGAATTTATTCTCTCTTGAGAAGAGGGGATTAAGGGGGATATGATCAACATGTATAAATACATCAGTGGTTCATATAGTGAACTCGGTGTAGAGTTATTCACCCTGAGGTCATCACAGAGGACAAGGGGGCACTCTTTACATCTGGAGGAAAAGAGATTTAATCGCCAAACACGGAAAGGTTTCTTCACAGTAAGAGCTGTGAAAATGTGGAATAGACTCCCTCAAGAGTTGGTTCTGGCCAGCTCTGTGGATTGCTTTAAAAAAGGCCTGGATTCTTTCTTGGATACACAGAATAT